CCTCTAAAACATGCAGGATAGCGGCCCTCGAGGACAGGAGTTTGACACCCCTGTTTTAAGGGCTTTCAAGTCGACAGTTTTTAAACTAAGTAGACTGATTAAAAAAGTTAAAAGCTGTTTTTGAAATAGAGTTAAAGCCAGTGCAACAAATAAAATCATTTTACTAAAGAAATTCTAGGAAGAGGTCACTTGATTTAGCTATTAACTATAACTAATATTCTAATAATGAGTTAAGCTAACATGCTAACAGTGGTGGCATGTTGTTCTGTGTTTCTTTGTTTTGCTTATTAATTGTTTAAAAGTTGCCCTGCAGTAAAGAGGAGCAGTGTTGTGTCAGAGATGTGACCTGGTGTTTTGTTCTGTTTGTGCCATGGGGGGTCAAACAGGTCAGATTTGTTGTAGCAACGGGCCCTAGCAACGCCGCAGGTCCACGGAGACCAACCGGGCCTGAGTGCAGGAATGCAACACCGCACGCGAGTCATTATGCACGAGGGGATTAAAAAAGTCTCCACGCCGAGGTGCGAATAAACCTGGACGTTTATAACTTTTCTTTTCTTTTTTTACATTCGAGGTGAAAATGGGATGCGGAAGTTCTTCAATTACCGCGGTCCATCCGCTGAGCAAGGTGAGCGGAGACCAGGTGGGTTCGGTTCGTTGGTCCGGATATTTGTGTCCGATAATTAAAGCTAATGAAAGATGACAGGTGTTGTGCAAAAATTTGTGAGCCGTGAATTTTGAGACACAAACAGAAGAAGGTTTGTAAAATAAAAAGGAAGTTTTCTCCTGCTGTTTGTTTGTTTGTTTGTTTGTTTTGCATATAATTATTGAAACAGTTTTTTAGAAGTTTAGTTAAGTTCCTGGTTGAGGAAAGACATTTTAATTAATTATTTGTTTTTTTTGTTTTTTTTACTGCTGTAACTAAGATCCAAGACTAATTACTGTCTTATTAATATCTATATAAAATCACATTTAGTTAGGATAATTAAATAAAGTCATTATGCAAGGACTGGAATGTGATTTGTGATTTATTCAATTAAAATGTTTTCCTCTATCTATGATAAGTAAACCACTTATTGTCAAACATTAGTCTGTAAAATATGAATATTAGTAATAACATAGGTCTAGTTTTTTCTAATATTCAGACTAATACATCTAAATAAATCTTAGTAACTATAATCCATTTGTGAATACAGACTGTATTTCTGATCAAAGTTGTCTAATAAAAAGTGACACATTCTTTGTGCTGCAGGACGAGACTGAAAGTAAACTCAGTGGCCGCGGCGACTCTGCCGTGTCGAAGGCCACCACAGACAGCGGCGTGGTGATGGAGAACAAAGACGTCCCGTCGTTACCTGGGATGGTTCCCGATAAACTCCCTCCTCTAACGTCTGGGAGCATCAGAGAGAGTGAGCTGGAGAGAGAGACCCAAGAGGGTGAGCTCTTCAAAYGAGTTGAATCATTCAGAACTTGTCACAAAAACCTGATTTTTTTTCCTTTTGATTCATTTTTTAGCTGCTGTTTCAGATGTGCTGCAGGAGGACAACCCAGTGCCGGAGCGGCTGAAGTCCAGTGAGATCCTGGAGGAGCTGCTGAGCCAGGGAATCATCCCCGCGGGACAGAGCGGAGAGAAAGGCAGCGGGGCCGCCTACACCATCATGGTGAGGGCCTCGTTATTTGACCTATTGTCTTTTAAAGGGTGGAATTTCACTTTGTCTAATTGCAATCATCACCAGTCATCAGGTTAAGATGAAACATCTTTATAATTTTGTTTTTAAATGCTTAAACTCTTTGGTTAACACATGAACATATTGTTTGCCTTTCACCTAAGGTTTTCATAGCTTCAAGCTTGATGCTGCTTCCTTTACCCTCGAGGCAAAGTTTTTATATACTGTCTTAAAAAAGTTAATATTTTGAGAAATATTTTAGACTATGAACTCATACACGGTTCTGATCAGAAAGTTTAAACTACTTCCTGTGTCTTTTTTGCTTTTAAAGTGAGCTTGATCAGTAGATCTTTAGGCTCCTTAAAGATTGTTTTGTTTTCATATTGAAACTGTTCTTTTCACTCATTTTCAGGCCTTACTGTGACAGTATCCTAAAACTAAGTGGTAAAAACATGTATTTGTTTTTGTCTGTACTAGTTGGATGAAAAAGTAGGTGACGTTCGAAGACCTCCTGCCAGACTTGAGTCTCTGAAGGCCAAAAGAGCTGAAACTCTGCACAGCAGGGAGGATTTTGAAGAGAGGATGAGGCTGGCCGAGGAGAGACGCAAGGTAAATCGTGTGTGATCGTGTCCTCCACCACCTAGTTTTATTATTCCTCACCCGCCTGTCCCTCCCCACCTCCCAGTTTAAGGAAGACGAGCGCAGGAGACGCTTAAGGACCATGTCTGCTCGCGTTCGGAGGATCGCCCCCGCCTCCAGCCTCGAGGAGGACGAGGACGCCCTCCTCACCCCCGTGGAGCTGCTRCAGTCAGCTCACACCCCCGGCGTGACCCCGGCTGCTCCGCCTCAGGTTCCCCGCGAGGACGCCGAGGSGGGAGAGAGCGTCCGAGAGGCCGCAGGTGACGGCAGAGAGGASACGAGGAACRAGAGAGAGTGGTTAAAGGAGGGAGMTGAGGAGAAARGTGGGGAGGAAGAGGAGGTGACCCATGTGGAGGAGCTGAAGGCAGGTGAACTCACAACCTCAGGAGAGCTGGAGTGACTCCAGCTTCCAGAATGCAAAGGARGAGGAAATATTTTAGTTCCCTGCATAAATGAGCCATGAATTAGCACTTAAAGTGCCTGTGACATCAAATTTTTGTAATAAACATGAATGCTTTTTTGGAAAGATAACGTAGATGACATATTTCAAAACAAATGTCACGTCGCTGAGATGAACGGTTGTTGAGATATTTGCATGTGAAGAAACAGGAAGTGATGTCAAAGGAGAATGTCTGCATATAAACAGAGCGTTGTTACAACGGCTAACAACACAGACTGTGGAGAAGAATCTGATGTTTCTTTAGATTATTTTTAGTTGCTATCAAAGAGAGACAAAGAAAAGTTAAAGTTTAAATAATTTTGTTGTAATAAACAGAGACCAGCAAGTTTATTAATGAGTTCCCCTTTGATGTCACTTCCTGTTTCACTTTAGCTGAGCCAAATTCAAAAGAAAATAGGCCAGTTGTGTGACAAAATGGGTAAAATCATGTGTACTATGCCAATTTTCTTAAGTTTAAAGATGCGTTCTTTGACTTTTGGTATTTGAAAGATAGGTGTGTCACAGGCTCTTTAACGAGGGAGGGAAAGAGGAGGAAGCCAAAGTCTTTGCTTTTGCACGATGAAGACGAGTCAGAAATTTTCATATCGTTCAGAGAGAAACTCACGGTTGATGTTAAATTAATGTGAAGCAGAATTAACCCACAATCATCRAACTGCTCAGCAGAAAACACACAGAAAAATGTTTGTTTTTTAGCTACCTGAACTCTGTGTTTTAGTGTTTGCCAACAAACCATTAAAGGATTAACTTTACGCTTTAATATTTAAAAAGCATTTCATGGTGTCGTCTAATTCTGCAGTTGTATTAAATACAAGGTGGCATTATTTCAGCGAGTTCCAGCTGTTTTCATGTGTGGAAAAAAAAGGCTAATTAAGATAAGTCATCAAGTCGAGTACAAACAGATACAAAAGGGGAACAAAACCTGATCAGACTCTCATTGTTCAGTGGGAGGAACATGATATAAGTCCCCTCTTTTTTCACAATTGTCCCTGGACATTAAAGGATGTGTGGCTGCATGAATAAAACAGTGACCTGTAGGGAGATGCTTCATCAGGTTGTTTTTCTTTGTAACGAGGAGTACATTAAGTCATGATGTTGTCCTTACGGATATTTAAGATTTAGTGTCTTTTAGCTTTTGTAATATGTAAAAATCCATCATTAATTTTCTACTATAAATGTATCAATGACCAGGTCTCTCTTAAAAAAATAGGTTTTTAATTTCACTGACACTTTACCTGAATAAAGGATTCTGAAATCTAGTGATCTTACTTATTTGATGCCTTTAAATACATATATATATAAATACAGTAGTAGTTACATTTAAGGAATATTTTTGTGACGCTGAACCAAGATGTTTTATTGTCACAAAATTATTCTATTCTAAATTACACACACACACACACACACACACACACACACACACAC